TATTTTATGTTCCTAAAGTAACAGAATGACTTTCAATCTAGAAAAGACAAAAGAAATGCTAATGTAGCATTTTTTCAATTTTTCCGAAAATTTCCATTTTTTTCCGGGGGAAAAAACGGGTTTTTTTCCGAGCTTCAAAATTTCCAGAAATTTTACATCCCTACACCAGAGTCTCCTTCCTAACCTGTGAAGAACCCCTAGCTGTTTAGGGCTAGAAGGAGAAGCAAGACCCTCACGTTCAAGTAACCCTGTGGCAAGAACTCGGTATGCAGCTCTGTTTTTGCTAGGGTTGACAGGTCCCCCCGGCCACTGGTGGGGGATGGGTGGGTGGGGTTGCCAGATCCAGGTTAGGAAACTCCTAGAGATTTTGGGGTGGAGCCTGGGAAGGACAAGGACCTCCGTGGGGTACAAGGCCACAGTGTCCACCCTCCAAAGCATCCGTTTTCTCCAGGCAGGACCGACTTTCCACAGCTCAGCGCAGCGGAAGCGTGCTGGGCCCATAACCCTGACGGTATGGAAGAAAACGCCGTGCAGCAGAGTAGTAAAAGTATTTACAGTTTATTTACACACTGGAGTATATTTACAGTCTCTCTGAGTCCAAAATCGTGGTACTCTCTGACAAGGTGCTGCGCAGGCAACTGATCCCATAGACGAGATGAACAGCACTGTTCAGTACTACATTTATATTTACAACAACCAATCACATAACAGCTATTTACATATTTGCCAAGTCATGGTGCTTCGTGCAAAGGCTGATGCAACCTCCCTGCAAGGCCACAGTGTCCACCCTCCAAAGCATCCGTTTTCTCCAGGGGAACTGGTGTCTGTAGTCTGGAGATGAGCTGTCCTTCTGGGGGATCCCCAGGTCCCACCTGGAGGCTGGCATCCCTAGTTCTTGCAGCAGCAAGGCTCTTCACAGACAGCCTGTTCTCTGTAGGTGGCGATTATGAGCCCAAATTCACAGAAAAGGAAGGTACCCTTTTCTTCCCTAAAACTCCTGCGTCAACACCCGTCCATTTGATCTGGGTAATATATTTGTTATGACTTTTGTATCCTAACCTTTCCCCCAAACAACGGCCTCCGAAGCAGATCACAATCAGAGTTTTTTTTAAACAAATAAAAATTCAAAACAAGAGCAGATCTGGCAGGCAACCATAAGACGCAACTAATGAAACAGACGCTCGACGGCACCAAAGGCCTGGGGACATCAAGGGGAATTGGCACTTTCAAAGAGGGTGGAATAGGCAAGTGGGGGAATGAATTTGCCCGGGGGCTAGAGTCTGGGGGCCACCACACAAAGGCCCCTGTGTCTGGTAGCCTTACTTCCGAAGGGGGGGTTGCACACCCAGCAGGGTTTCAGCAGAGGGTTTCAAAGCACAAGAAAGTTTGTACAGACGCAGGTAATTTTTCCAGTGTCCTTGTAATATCAGGCAGTTAAATGTGTGTCCATGAGTTTGGGGAGTGGAGGGTGGCAGCAAGCAGGCATACATTCAGCCCCCTCTTACTTGTCTGAGTGAAGTGCTCTGACCCTCCGGGGGACCCAGAAGTGTTTGGGAGTATGTCTGTCTGAGCATGTGCAGAATTGTTACAAAATGGGACTGTTGTAAGCTTGCAGCCTGCCCGTGGCGACAAGTTAGCTAGTCGGGATTGAATCTTGCTGGCCTTAGCGGGCACGGGCCAGGGAAAGTGGGTTGGACGGATTGCCTGGCAACGATGCTTGACCTGGGCACGATGTTCTCTGAATGTCATAATTTTTTTGTCTCATGCGCAGGTCGCAATGAACTCATTGCCCGCTACATCAAACTGAGGACGGGGAAAACACGGACAAGGAAACAGGTTAGAGGGGAAGGGCTGAGCAGGGATCAGGACCTGCCCTTTCCTCCCCAAAGACCTTGCTGCTTATTCACTCCCAATTTCCTGCTGTAGGTCTCTAGCCACATCCAAGTACTGGCACGGCGGAAGACCCGTGAGATTCAGGCCAAGCTCAAGGTGAGACCCTACCTCCCCACCCCTGCTTGGCCCCCCTCCAACAACCCCTGGCTTCTTCTCCTGTCCCTGTTGAAAGAGGAGGAACAAAGAATGCGGGCATATTTTTGCAAAACTCCCATAATTCTTTGCAAATGCTCAGTGCTCAGCGGTGAACGTGGGTGCCACATCTTTGTCACAACCAGAGTTCCCTCTAAGCTGAGTTAGTGTGAGCTAGCTCACAGTTTTTTAGCCTCCAGCTCACACATTTTTGTCTCAGCTCAGGAAGGATGGCTCCAGAGCAAACTAATTTATGCAGTAGCCAAATTGCTCACTCGCAACTTTAATGCCAGCAGCTCACAAAGTAGAATTTTTGCTCACAAGACTCCTCAGCTTAGAGGGAACATTGGTCACAACCCCATAATGCTTTGCCAGAATTCCTGCCAGTTCAGGCCCAGTGAAGAAAGGGCTTCTGCCTGGTTTGGGATTACACTTATGCCAAGCATGTTTAATTAACTGAATTGCCCTTTGTGCTGCCCTGGTGGAGGATAAATGACAGGGTGGGGTGGTTGTGTATATGGTAGGTCCCATTATAACAATGCTGAGGGAGGGAAAAGGCTTGGAGGGTTGTTGTATGGGGCTTTTGGGGTTGCCAGACTCCAGGTGGGGCCTGGAGAGCTCCCTGTCTGACAACTGAACTCCAGGCAACAGAGATCAGTTCACCTGGAGGAAAAAGCAGCTTTGGAGGGTGGACTCTGTGGCATTATACCCAAGTGAGATCCCTCCCCTCCCAAAACCCTGCCTTTCCTACGTTCCATCCCCAAATCCCCAGCAATTTCCCAACCTGGAGTTGGCAGTGTCAGGCTGAATACATCTCTCCAAACACATTATTGGTGTACAAGGCAGGCACGGGTGTGTCAGAAACTGGAGTTACACCACCTGCTTTCTCTGGAATGGAATTTGAATGAGATCTAGCAGAGGACGGATGGACGGCGACTGCCATGCAGGACTCCTTCCCCGTGTTCTTGAGGCGAACTTTAAGTAGGAACATAGAAGGACCGACTGGAAAGCTTTATTGTCTCAGTGAGAAGGCTGGTAATAGCAGCCCTCCATTAATGGAGATGTCCTCAGCCACAAAGGGGCGTTGGGGATGTGTGGTCAATGTACTCTCAGTTCATGCAGGGCAACGTACGGCTAATTATACCAGTATGGCCACATAGCACCATCATCAAATGGCCTTATAAGACGCTATCGCCATCCAGGGCTATTTTTGGGCAGGAACGCACAGGAACGGAGTTCCGGCTGGCTCCCGAGTTGGCCATGCCCAGCAGGAACTCATTAGCATAATAGGCCACACCCAACAGCAGGAACTCATTAGGATTGGCTACATTAGGGGCGTGTGGCCTACCATGCAAAGGAGTTCCTGCTACAAAAAAAGGCCCTGGGTTTTGACCACAAACAAGGTAAACAGAATAAGAAGCAAAAGGTGGGTGTGGCTGGATAACCACACTTCTGGTAACATGGGGGTGCGTCCTAATGTGCTAATGAGCTGTGCTGTCAGGGGTGTGGCCCAATATGCTAATGAGTTCCTGCTGGGCTTTTTCTACAAAAAGAGCCCTGTCGCCATCTACATGCAACAGCACTTTATATATAAACCTGATTGTTTGTCTGAATTTTATTCTATTGCATTGTTTAATGCATCTAATGTTTTATTGTATTTATTGTATCGTACTTTAACCTGTCGTAAACCGCCCTGAGCCTGCCCATGCGGGGAGGACAGGATATAAATCGAACATAAATAAATAAATAAATACCTAAGAGGAACCCCTGTGTTCTCCAGTGCATCCCAGAATCCTCTGCAGCAGCCAACATCTCAGAGCCAGGTTGCAGAGGTGTCTCAGCAGAGAAGGGCAGGACGGCTGACTCTCTGCTGCCTGCCGGCCACCAGAGTTCCTCTCTTTCCTAGGACCAGGTTGCCAAGGACAAAGCCCTTCAGACCATGGCAGCCATGTCTTCTGCTCAGCTGGTGTCCGCCACAGTCCTCCAGGAAAAATTGGGCCTCTCAGAGCCCCACTATCCACCCACCACCACGGTAAGCACGTGGAAACAAGGGCTGTGACGCTGCACCTCAGAACCACAGTCCCCTGGAGAGAGAGGATTATTTAAATCAGTTTATGTGGCCTAGACGTGCCCCAACTGCTTTAAATCTTCCTTTTGTATTTACTGCAGTCGGCAGAGTTCTTCCAGTTCTGGACGGGGGATGCCAACGAGCCTCCGACCACTCCGGAGTAAGTGTGCGCCGCTCCTGGTGCCCTCTGCTGAGGACAGAGAATTTGTCCGGTCCTTCTGCAAGCAGCAGAGTGAGGGAGGGGCAGGCGGGGATGTTAAAACAGCCCAGGAACAAGCTGCTTGGCCCATTTTGGTTCAGATCTGGGCTGGTAACAATGGGTGCAGGCAGGTCTGTTGCTTCTTCTCATGCTGCTTCAAACCACATTTGAACCAGATGGCCTCTACAGAGCAGCCAGCACCGCTGGGCCTCATTTTGGCTTTCTTCTGGCCACCTCCAGGATGGTGGCCCAGTGGGGACCTCCCTGGTAATTTAAAGGGCCAGGCTCCCCCTGAGCATACATTATATGTTTCAGCACCCACAACTGTATGTTAATACATTTTATTCCTCCCACCACCACCGCTCCGCAGTGTCAAGCCCATCCTCCAAGCCCCATACGCCATCGCACCAATCACAGCACCCCCTGCTTCCCCAGGTAAGGTCCCCTTTTCATTTTCCTCTCCTAGCTTTTCTCCCTGCCACGAGCAAGGGGGAGCATGCTAGAAGGCCTTCAGTTTGCTTCCCCTTTCCTTGACAGGTTATCACACACCCACAGGGAGACTCTCCCACCTCCCCAGTACAACCTCTTGGCAGGGAAGCCACATTGGTACGGAGACACTTCGACTGGTGGAGTTCACCGCTTTCGTGGAGCCGCAAGGCGAACAAGATCCGGTGAGAGACAGAAGCGCCCATGCACCTTTCGCCAGCCAGTGTGGAAGGGTAGACTTTTCTTGAAAGGTCTGAGGAAAATTAGATGAGGGCCATTTTAGTGTAGTGGTTAAGAGCGCAGACTCTAATCTGGGAGAACTGGGTTTTAATTCCCTCTTCTCCACATGCAGCTGCTGGTGTGACCATGGGTGGGTCACATGTTCTTTCAGAGCTGTTCTCTCACGGGCAGTCCTCAAAAGAGCTCTCTCAGCCCCACTTACCTCACAGGGTGTCTGTTGTGGGGAGGGGAAGGGAAAGGAGATTGTAAGGGTTATAAATCCAATCTCTTCTTCTTCATCTTGGTGTAGTGACTATCTGGCTGGGCCAGGGAGAAGTTGACTGGATGGCCTTAGGCCAGTGACAGTCTTTATGTAGCCCAAGCCACAAGTTTGTGGGAATAGAATGGATAGACTGTGTCACCCAAGATTTCCTGGAGGAAGGGCAGAGAGTCTACTGTGATAAATCAAAAGGGATTTAGGGAGAAATATGAGAAGCCTGCTGTAGAGAATGTAAAGCTGATAGTGTTGCCAGTCCCCCCAGCGCAGGCGGGATCCCCCCGGTTTCCAGCCTCCCCCCCCCCGGTGCTGGCTGGCGGGGGAGAATTACTCCCCAAACAGGCAAGAAGCCAGAAATAAACATGATGTGCCTATGTCACCTGGTAGTGCGTAGTCACATCGGGGGGCAACATGTGAGGCAAAACTGTATGGTAGAATTAGCTTCAAAACACAGGTTTTTCGCTAGAGTGTTACCCCCTTAATGTCATCAATGTGCCTATGTCACTTGCAGGTGATGTAGGCAAGTTGCGTTTATTTTCAGCTCCTGGGGGACGTAGGCATGTCATGTTGTTCTGGCTTCCAATAAATTCCCCCCATCCCCTGCCCGCGCGTCCTAGGGACCGTGTTCCCTCTAAGCTGAGTTAGTGTGAGCTGGCTCCCAGCTTTTTAGCCTCCAGCTCACACATTTTTGTCTTAGCTCGGGAAGGAGGGCTCCAGAGCGAACTAATTTATGCAGCAGCCAAATCGCTCACTCACAGCTTGAATGCCCGTAGCTCACAAAGTAGAATTTTTGCTCACAAGACTCCATAGCTTAGAGGGAACGTTGCTAAAAGTTTGAAGGTTAAGAAGCTGACAAGCTGACCACTCTCTCTAGTTTTGCTTTGTTGGGGAGCTGGTGTGCAGTGTTTACTCTAAGCTGAGTCAGTGTGAGCTAGCTCACAGTTTCTTAGCCCCCGGCTCACATGGCTCCAGAGCAAACTAATCTATGCAGTAGCCAAATCGCCTGCTCACAGCTTTAATGCTGGTAGCTCAAAGTAGAATTTTTGCTCACAAGACTCCACAGCTTAGAGGGATCATTGCTGATGTGATATTTATTTATTTATTCCTTCAATTTATATACCGCTCACCCCCTAAGGGCTTTGAGCAGTTTACATCATACAGTTGATACCATTCCTAATCTAAGGCCACACACATACAATGGGGAAGTGACTAACCTAGCAGGCACCCTATGGTGGAGTCTTTTGTTGTTGTAGTCTTTTCCTGCGGGAGGTCTTTCTCAGTCTGGCGACCGCGTTTTTCCTGGCGCAGGTCTTCCTTGGCTGTTGCGACTCCTCCCGGGCCTGGGCCAAGCGCACGTCAGCGCGTGCTCGCTGCCGGCCTCTGTCCTATCGGCTCCGGCTTATAACTTAGTGGCTAAGAGTATGGGGTCAGGAAGTCCCTGGTCCAGATTTCATCCTGGAAATAAACTTGCAAAGTGTCTTACAAGTCAACTTACAAGTCAACTAACCACGTGTTTCAAAGTCCTCAGATCGTGTCTCGGTCTGCCTCAAGGACTTTTAAGTCAGATGTTGCCCGGTGCAAACTCCGTTCCCGGTGATGCGATTCAGATCAGGGTCACAGCGTGCAAGGAGAGGGGGATTGATTATGCCTCCCCTTTCCTGACTTGAAATGGCCCCAGGGCCATTATTTACCTTACTAGGAAACTGGCCCATAGCTGTGGCGGGGCTGTTGTGGGCTCCGTCCCTTCCTTAAAGGGCCAACGTCCATGCAACCTGTCAGTATCTGTGGAGTCTCCAGTGGGGCAAATAACATATAGCCATTTTATATTGGGAGCAGGGGTCATTTCCTGCAGGAGCACACAGGAGCGGAGCTCCGGCAGTAAAGAGCCCAGGGGGCGGGCATATGCAACAAGCCCCGCCTTCTGCTCCCAGCAGCCCTCAGTCCGGCCATGAGGAGCGCGTTCCCCCCCCCCATAGCTAG